ATATATATATATATATATATATATATATATATATATATATATATATATATATATATATATATATATATATATATATATATATATATATATATATATATATATATATATATATATATATATATATATCTATATATCTATATAGATAGATATATATATATATATGCCTAGTGGAATTTGTTGAGTCGTTGCACTTATTTTATATATATATATATATATATATATATATATATATATATATATATATATATATATATATATATATATATATATATATATATATATATATACATATATATATTATATATATATACACCTTACATAGACTCCCGAGAATTAGTGTGTGTATTTGTTGTGTTGGTGTTATATGTACTAAAGTGAATACGATGTTTTGCGGTGTTCTTCTGAGTGTGCACCCACAATGGGCAAGCTGAAAAGTTTGCCTGACCACGGTGGGAATCGAACCCACGACTAAGCAAACTTTTCAGCTTGCCCGGTGTGGATGCACACTCATGTCCATATTATAAAAAAATTTGGGAGTCTATATGCCACTGAACACAAGTGATCACTGAATGTCTGTCCGACTTAGAACATGCATGTCGCATCCACGAAGTCGAAGAATTCTTTCTTTCTAGTTTTGGGAAGTATTTTTTAGTATATTTTTTATCGACTAATACTCGTAGCGAGTGTACCGAACTAAACTCTATATAGAGAATATTTTTAAAAAATTTTTTAATACATTTTTTTGATGCATGAACAAAATTGACGTCAACGCGTTTTTTCCAACTATAAGAAACAGCAAGCTATTCTAGCCTGCGCGGTAGTAACTGTATAGCCTGTGGGGTGGTTGTGTTACTTTTCTGCTAACGACAGATTTTGAAAAGGAAATATTTTCAACATCTCCATTTGTGCTGTATAAAAGGCCCAAAACATGCACATCATTAAAAGAATGTCAAATCTGTTTAGGCCGTTTTCCATTCCAACCGTTTGTGCTGTCACAGCGACAAATGCACTTACAGGTGGAGATGTATGTCATCAATAGAGTTATATAATTGTTATTTTTTTATTCAAAATAGTGTTCGGTAAACAGATCGACGACGAGGAAAGATACGCAGAAAGTAACAAAGAGCAACAATCAGTTGAGTGTAAAGAATGCTCAAAGAAGGAAGACGAATTAAAAAAAACTGTCAAGAACCATAAGCAAGAATCAGCGGAGAGGCATCGCATGCATGAGAGAGAAAAGGAGATTTTGGCTGGACAAATTAGAGACGCAAAAAAAGAAAGAGAAGATGACAAGACTGTGTTTCAAGAAGAAATCTTGACTTGGAAAAAAAAATACCAGGATGTAGTACTTGAACTGAGAAACATGAAAGAGTATCGTAAGTGCAACGAACGATCTGGTCCGACTTCAAGTACTGTGGCTCAAGCGCTGGGAGGAATTGTAGGTAAGAGCTTGAAATTATTTGCACGTCTGTAATTTGAATGTAAAAAATTAAATAATCTTTGAACATTTTTTCCAATGTATTTATTTTTCAGTTAGCCAACAGACCGACGAGCCTTCGCATGACGACTCTGGTGAGTTTGATTTAAAACACTGCCAGCAGCAAGCATGTGAAAACTTTATAAAAGAACAAGTGGAATTTTGGGACCATTATTTTCATAACCATCATGCAATTAGCGCTTTTTAATTTTTAAGTTTTATTATAAAACTATTTTAATTCCAAAATTTATTTTTCAATTCATCACAGGGATCGGAGAAGAACTGAGAGTTGCGAATGAAGGTACTGATTATTTTTTACCGGCCGAACACAGCATAGATTGCTAAAGCTAGTGATTGGTTAACTTTGGCTATTTAGCCTCGTTTTTTAGGTAGTAAGGCACATAATTGTATGTGCCGAAAGTGCAGTTATTTACCATAAACCTACAATCCATCCAACTAATCGCGAGTTTGATTTAAAACACTGCCAGCAGCAAGCATGTGAAAACTTTATAAAAGAACAAGTGGAATTTTGGGACCATTATTTTCATAACCATGCAATTTGCGCTTTTTAATTTTTTAAGTTTTGTTATAAAACTATTTTAATTCCAAAATTTATTTTTCAATTCATCACAGGGATCGGAGAAGAACTGAGAGTTGCGAATGAAGGTACTAATTATTTTTTACCGGCCGAACACAGCATAGATTGCTAAAGTTAGTGATTGGTTAACTTTGGCTATTTAGCCTCGTTTTTTAGGTAGTAAGTCACATAATTGTATGTGCCGAAAGTGTTAGTTATTTACCATAAACCTACAATCCATCCAACTAATCGCGATCTGTAAAACAGCTTTTCTGTGCGTTGCATGAATTATTTTTATGTTTCATGTAAGGCCTATATGAGATTGACCGCACTCGTCCCTTTTTAGTACATTAATCGCGCTTCGATCACAATTCTGTCAGTTATATACAATATAAATATATGTAAATACTGTATGTATATATAAATTTTAGTGAATATCCAGTCGTCACGCAAACGTTCAATTGAAGACACAGTCACGGAGGACAAACATATTTGCAATATATGCAACGTGGATAAAAATCTTTCGTCTGGGATGGTAAAATGCGTCAAGTGCAGCCAGTGGTTGCATTGTGCTTGTTCTGGGATCCAATATAAGGCGGCAAAGAAAATCAAGAAAACTTTTTTGTGCACAAACTGTAAATAAACACAAACCCTATAATATACATGTTCTGTATACAGTTTTGTACTAGAGCAAAAATCATATCAACAAGGTGAATTTCTAAAGGTCTCCTTTTTTTATACACCCTGTAGATCATTTGCAGAATTATTGGATGTACGATTCGAGAATATATACACATATATAAGAGACCATACACTCCAGTAATTCTGCAGATGATCTCTTGGTCTCATTTCGCCGAAATTTTCTTACATACTGTAACCTATGAAAACGCGAGAAACTCAGCATGCTCACCGATGTCATTTCTCATGTGCAACAAAGTTCAAGTTTAATCGATGATGCCCCGTTTATCTTACCCTGGATTCCAGAGCCTTCGACGTTTCAATTTATTATGTACTGTCGAAGGCTCTGGAATCCAGGGTACGTATATCCAGTCACAGACCTTAATTGTAAGGGGCGGGCCATTAGAAAAGTGATTTGGGGGGGGGGGAGCAAAAATAAAAATCGCGCAGTAGTCGAGTGAATCTGTGACCAGAGGTCAAAGAAATTGCAATAGAAATTTTTCAGTGGTAAAATGTGAGGGAAGGTGTCCTGATTAACATACTAAAAATCAAAAAAAATCCCTTCGGTAAAACATGGTGAAAATCGAGTCTTTCTTACTTCTCCCTATAGAGAACCACTGTGGACAAAATGTTGAAATGTTGAAATCATTTTCAGGCAAATGTAACCTAGCTCAAAGTTTTCCAACTTTCCAAAAATATTGCAAAATTTTAAAAAAAATACAAATTTATGGCATTTTAAATCTTGTATAACTTCGGCTGGACAGGCAAAAGCAAGATAACTGTTTAATGATCTATATTTTAGTTTTTTCTAAGCTTTCCAATAATGTAGGTTACGTTTGCCTAAAAATGATTTCAAAATTTCAACATTCTGTCCACAATGGTTTTCTATAGGTAGAAGTAAGAAAGACTTGATTTTCACCATGTTCCACCGAAAGGATTTTTTTTTATTTTTAGTGTGTTAATCAGAACTTTTCTCACACTGTACCACTGAAAACAAATCTATTGCGATTACTTTGATCAGGACCATGTACTTATAGTGATTTGACTGGACTACAGGGGAAACAGAAAGATTCGTGTACCAAGAAAGTTTGGGAAAAAATTCGTGTAGAGACTTTTCAGTTAAATAAAAAAATTCGTGAATGCGTTATACTTAAAAAAAATATCGACACAAGCAAAAAATTTAAAAAATTTTCGTACAAGTTGGAATAGCCCCCCCCCCACCCTATCACTTTTCTAATGTCCCCCCCCCCCAATCACTTTTCTAAGGCCATACAGGTCACTACGTATGTAGTAGCCTGTATGGCCTTAGTAAGGTGTTACCTTAATTTGTGAATTCTTAATGATTTGCGGCGTTAATATTTAAAATACAATATTTACAAATTGTCATTAGCATGACATAAGAAGCGATATTTTTTTTTGTACAGCTATGAAAGTAATATATTTTTCTCACTGGCTGGAAAAATTTTTTAAGTGAAATTTACAGGCCTAACTTATAAGCTAGGGATTTTTTTTGGCACTATGCCTGGGAAGATTTTTTTCTTTTTGATTTCCCCCCCCCCCCCATCGCCCCCATCACTTTTCCAATGGTTCGTCCCTTAGCCCACAAGAATAGTTACTTGGTTAGGTTTATACTAACTGAAAATGGTACAAAGTTACATCTGTACCTTACTTTTTTGGAAGCAGTGGAGTTTTATGATTTACATGGCATTTTTCAGTGTACTTGTTTCTGTATTTAACTATTTTATGTAAAAAAAAGAACTGATGAAAATGTGGCATAGCACACATAACCTTTTTGAAGCGACTTGCCCATATGAATGTTTGTTCACAAGCCATTGTGTTAAAATTTGAAGGAATGACATCATCAGGGTTGTATAATCTCTTACACTTGGGATCAACATGATTCCTAAGATGTAATCTATCGATTACTTTTCCAATGCTCTTCCATGCTTTATCAAATGGTTTTGGTAGTGGTAGATCATCCCTCGACACCAACAAGCTATCTAAATGACACATGTTGTCATATGCCAGACAAGTTGATCTTATTTCTTCTAAAATGGCTTGATCACTCATTCCACTCTTTTTGTAATCTTTAAATTTCCCATAAAGCCACAGCACAGTAATCAAAAACGCTTGTGTGGGAGATTCAGACCTGAAAAATTTGAAATAGACATGCACTGCTAAGGCTAATGCATGTAGCACAAATAATCTGAATGGTGAAGTTAATTTACCTTCATGTCTCATGTGGTAATTGCCTTGGCTTTAAAGGTCATGATGTCAAATATTACAGTTACTAATACATACCTGTATAAAGGCTGCCAGTATTCAATATGCCCACCAGCACTGACAATAAAAAAGATTCCTCGTGACCAGCAATGGAGTGCTTTAAGGCCACCTGTATCTTTATTACATACAATATCCCCTTCAGTAGACTGATTTTCCACAAATGAAGGATTATTCAAAAGAAAATCAGTGGTTCCTAAAATAAAATTACATGTAATTGCACACTTCAAAAACTTGCATAATCCTCTACAGTACGTATCTACACAACATACAAATATCCCACTTAAGACGTCTGTAAAATCCCAGTAAGTTTCTCTGCGACTTCAATTTAATCATACAACATTTTTGGCATTTTTCATCAGATAAGTGAATTAGTAATTTAAACCAATAAAATCAAAACTTGGACTTTTGTTTCCAATAAATTATTAATATTATTAATAAAACTACATCATAATGTACACTTTTGATAATTATGTCACATATACATTTTGGTTGGAGCCTCACTCTCATTTGTAAATTGGCTCATAATTACGAGAGCGAGGCCAAGACATAATTATCGAAAGGGTGTATATCCAGTGTCACATAACATTTTATAGTGCCATAGTATGTAGGCATAATTTTTAAGAGGACTTGTCATCATTGGCTAAACTGACACACCTTGAAACGTAGATGCATTTGCTGCATTTTCAGTTGGGGAAATTTCAGAAACTTTGTTGAGGCACGATTCAATAGCTTCTAGAGAAGTATCTACAACATAAGCAAAACACAGTCATTAACACTAAAACTACTAAATCCAGTACTCCTCCTGAACTACACAACTTACATATATTTTGACAATTTGTGACCAAATCATACTGTATCTACAAAGTCTAGTATTGGCACCTGGGTCAAGCAACCATTCTCAATATAATTTTCAACCCACTGTCCAATACTTTACTCCTGACAAGTAAAATTATGCAGCATAGACAGAGGTACAGTAACACAGCAAACCAGGATGCACAGTATGTGTGACTTAAAATTAAATAAAACTAACTTTGCATTAACAATTAAAGTGCAATCTCCTCTTGACATGTAAAATTGTTTTGATAGCATTTTAATAACCGTAATACAATTAATTATTTATATGTATGATATTGAACCCCACTTCCAACCTTATGAAACATTAGGGTTTACAATAGATGATTCATGTCAAATCAAGAACAGACATTCCAAACTAATTAACCTTCCAGGAAATCTGGGGGTTACCAAAAAGGATTGTTCCGGTTTTCAAAATGTAAGTATTCTTAATTTTAGCAAATTTTTCTCTAAGATTTAACTTAATTATGCATGTTTTCCCATTTTTTAATGGCAGGTTTTCATTTTAGACATTTTAAACTGATTTTCTTATTTCCGAATTTTTCTGAAAAATCAAAATTTAATTAAATCAGAAGTTCAGGAAGTAAAGTAGACAGGGCTTTATACTTGTATTGCTTGATTGGCTGGATATTTTCTCACACATTTCAATTGAATCCCCTGATTAACCAGGGTGGGGATTCTGATGTCAAGAGCATTAACGTCATAAAGTGTTTTGTTTTCAAAACAGTTGCAACACATTACCTGATAATTGCTTTGATGACATTCCCTCTAATACTAAAAATCAAAATATGAATTATTTTGCAAACTAATTTAGTCATTACAACTTTACATTTAATATTACTGAATATCTCATACAAAACTATGTTTTTAAGGTCCATAGTGAATCTCAATGTACAACAAACCTTCATCAACATCTGTGTTTAACACACCACACTTCTTAAGAAACTCTCGGAGCTTTGTTGGGTAACACAATTTTTCAGCAGTTTTACAGTGAGTTTCACAAAAGGCATGGCCACGTTTCGGTGTAAGGGGACAAATATTGGGATAATTTATCTTCCCAAAACCATCTAATTTGATAGGAACTTTCCACATACAGTGGGCATATCGCAGCTTCCAGTTCCCATCTGCCACATACAAATTACCACAACCTATAAAAGAACATGACAAATAACACTGAAATATGGCAGATGTTGTTCAATCCGTTCTACTGTATGCATGTACACATTAATTTAATTAAAGCCAGACATGCCATGATATAAACAGTTTTACAGTATTTAATTAGTACTCAAACTTGAATCAAATAAAGTTCAATTTGTGGGAGGTCAAATTAATAAAAATCAGACAATAACAATAGTTTCTATGGCCTTAGATATCATGTAAAGGCTTCTCTCCAAATGCAGGAAATAGCATAAATAAACCATAGAAAATTAAATAATTTCCGGGGTGCTTCCGTTTATGATTTAGCCCCCCCCCCCCCACTCTCTGATACGGTTCGCGGGCCCTGTTAATTTGCAAGAAATATAAAAAGAAGCAGATTCTGAGAAATACAATTTTAAATTGACCCATTAAGTGACAATGTGCCCAAATGCACCCTACTTTATTCTTTTACCCTGTCGAACACCAGATGCTTTTAGTCTGTCTAATGCCAGACAATTTTACTCGTAAAGGGGAGAGTCTTGCACTATAATGAGTTAAAATGTATTTCCTACAGATTTTTAGTTATTACCCATTAGAGTGCAAGACTGACCCTTGACCAGTGAAATTTTCTGGCATTAGACAGAGTAAAATAATAAAGCGACACATAACGCACTTGGGCACATTGCCACTTAATGTAACACAAATTTACATGTAGGTAACTGCACCATAATACCATTATATATTTGTAATTATAAGACAGTAAGGGTTAGAGGCACAAAATAATCACTAATTTCCCAAAATTAGACAAAATCTGGCATTAGACAAAATAAAATAATACAGTAGGAGGGTGCATTAGGACATAGACTGGATCGAATAGCGCTGTTCTTTTTTTCTTTGGTTGCTTGTGCGCCATTTACAATTTGACTGTGCAATTTCAAATAAAGCACAACAACAGAAAATCAGATTTCTTCGAAAGCATTTGCAGCACGATGCAATACGGCAATAGACACTATGAAAATAGACACTATGAATAGACACATGCAATCTCGAATTTTGATTGGCTAAAACTACAGTAACAGGAAATTTTACCCGTAACAACAGCAGTGCCCACATAGCGTATTCACGGCCGAGTCTATCGTCTAGCCTCAGTGTGTAGGCAGAATTGTTTATCGTCAGACATAAGACAGTAAGCGACGCGAAGGCTCTTAGCGGCTAGCTAGCATGCCATAGAGGCTCTTTATAAATAGCATGGCGTGGCGCATAGGATTTTTATTGCTGAACCATTTTTACATAGCAGCTAGCGCATAGACCAACGGATTTATAATCTAGCCTATAATCTTATAGCAACATAACAAAGGCCTATAATCTTATAGCAACATAACACGACTATATTTGTTTAATACTATGAAGTTTAGCATAGCGCATAGGATTTTTATCGCTTAATTCCATTTTTACATAGGCATAGTAGCTAACTTAGGATTTGTATCGCTGAATTCCATTTTTACATGCATCAGTCTTCCGAGTTCCGACTGGCGAAAACCAAGACCAACGAATTTTCCAGTAAAGCCCTATAATCTTCTACTAAAATGGCACAACTCGAGCGCTATATGATTTTTGTATGTCACTAAGCTTATGGGAGGCGGTTGGCACAATGGCACGAGTGGGCCCGAGTGCTATATGACTTTTGTATTCACTAACCTTATGGGAGGCAGATGGCACGAGTGCTATATGATTTTTGTCAGAATCCATGACTTATTTTAGGCATCATTTGACTTATCTCATGAGAATCCCAGCTTAACAGGTGGCTTGATAGTGCGTCGCAGCCTGGTGGTGACTGATCCCCATGGATGAGATTCCTGACTTGAGTGTTCCAATTCAACTCGCTGCTGCGTAGTATCATTCATTACCTTTGCTTCCCTTTGTTGGTAGTTTCAGCAGGTCTCTTCCGTTCCTTCGATATTCTTGCCCATTTGACTCTACGATGTATGATCTTGGCTCATCCGCAATACGTTTTACTGTGGCGGGAATCCAGTTCCCTGTGCTTGTATCTCTTAGACGTACTCCTTCTCCAGACTTAAGTGGCTCTAGGGTTCTTGTACCATGATCATAATAGTGTTTTTGCTTCGCCTGTATCTTCTCTAGGGAAGATTTGAGGTTGTGGGTGCTATACTTTGGTTGTAATAACTTTGCACTGGTAGGCAGTAGTGTCCTAGTTCTACGTCCCATCATCATCTGAACTGGCGATTCACCAACACCAGAAATTGGTGTGTTACAGTGGTCTAAAAACGCGATGTTGGGATCACTTCCATTCTTTTTTGCCTTCAGCAGGATATGCTTAGCTGTTTGAACGGTTCGTTCTGCTAAACCATTAGATTGTGGATAATATGGCGAGGACATAGTGTGCTTGAAATGATAGGTCTTGGCAAAGTTAGCAAATTCTCCGCTGCTAAGTTCAGGGGCGTTGTCACTGATGAGTTCCTCTGGGATTCCATATCTGGCAAAGTGTGGTTTAAGATGCTTAATGATTGACGAACTTGTTGTACTGGAAAGTTTTGTGACCTCAAAGAATTTGGAGAAATAGTCTGTAAGCACAAAGTAGTTTTGTTCTGGAGCTCGAAAAGATCTAAAGCCACTTTCTGCCATGGATGGGATTTGACAAGTCTCACATCGTTTCACAAGATTTTCGATTTGTTCGTTCATTCCTGGCCAGTAGAGCACATCACGAGCCCTTTGCTTGCACTTCTCAATACCAAGATGATTACCATGAATTATACTCAACATTTCTCGCTGTAGTGATGTAGGCACTATTAGTCGTTCTCCTTGTAACAAGAATCCATCCTGGGTGCTGATTTTGTCTCGAATGGGCCAATATTCGCGAATGTCAGGATGCACAGCCGACTTATCACTTGGCCAACCAACATGCGCGGTGTATTGTAATTTCTGCAGAACTGAGTCAGCTGTAGTCTCGGCATGGAACTGCTCTAACCGTTGGGGAGACACTGGTAAATGTTGGACGGTGTGTACTTGATAAAGATCATCTATGTCTGGCACTGAAAGTGTTCCCGGAGCCCTGCTCAAAGTTTCGGCTATGTACAGGCTTTTTCCTGGCTTGTATACAACATGCAAGACATATTTTGCAGTGTTAACATCATACGCTGTAGTCTTGGTGGCGCTGCTGTAAGTGGTTTTCGGAACAAGTACTCCAAGGGCTTATGGTCACTCTCAATTGTCACTGGCTTGCCATAAATATACTGGTGAAATTTGGCACATCCAAAAACTATGGCCAGAAGTTCTTTTTCTATCTGAGCATAGTTCTTTTCAGACTTGCTTAGTGAACGGGAAGCATAGGAAGTAGGGCGCCCATCTTGCATCAGACAAGCACCCAAACCATAGGAAGATGAATCACCTGATATAGTGACTGGTTTGGTAACTTCGTAATACTTGAGTATCTTCTCATGAGTTATTCTTTTCTTTATTTCGTTGAAAGCCCGTTCATGGGCATCAATCCAGTGCCAAGAAGTCTCCTTTTGCAGTAACTCTCACAGCGGTTGGGTGACGTTAGACAAGTTGGGAATGAACATACCCATAAATCGGAGAAGTTCTTTCTTGTCTTGTGGTGCTTGCATTTCTGTGATGGCTTGGACTTTCATTGGGTCCGGTTTGACTCCTATTTTACTAAATATGTGTCCTATGTAAATGACTTCATGTGTTTGTATGCAAGACTTTTCTGAGTTTAGTTTCAAATTAATGTCACGAGCTCTCTGAAGTACTTGCCTCAAGCGGTGGTCATGTTGTGCGACATCCTTTCCCCAGATAAGGATATCATCCATAATAATACTTGTTCCATCAATATCTTCAAAGGCTTGACTCATTCGGCGCTGTAATACCTCAGGTGCAGAGTTTAGTCCAAAGGGTAAGCGAAGAAACCGATACCGCCCAAATGGTTATTAAAGGTGGTCAATTTAGAGCTCTGCTCATCCAGTTTGATATGCCAAAATCCAGATGAGGCATCTAAGGTACTGAACACCGTTGCTCCCTCCAACTCAGCTGCTACTTTTTCCACAGTTTTCATGGGATAGTGCTTTCGTTGTACTGCTTTATTCAACGCTCTTGGGTCGAGGCAGATCCGTAGATTTCCATTTTTCTTTTCTGTAACAACAATTGAATTCACCCACTCTGAGGGCTCCGTAACCTTGGTAATGGCTCCGATTTTTGCCATTTGACACAGTTCGTCTTTAAACTTGTCTTTTATAGCAAACGGTATCTTGCGTGCTGGATATACAACTGGTGGAACCAAGGGGTCTACTTTGATGTGGTAATCTCCATCGAGGCAACCAAGACCTTGGAAGACGTCTGTGTACTCATCAATTATCTTTCTTACAGCATCGTGTAGCGATAGTACACCACCGTCCAAGCCACAGTCAACAGCACTAGAGCTGAGGCCTAAATGTAAACCACGCACTAACCAACCTGCCGAAGAAATGAAAACCGAGGCGGTTCCATTTTCCTGACACCATGTAAAGTTTAATACTATTCATACGCCATAAGCAGAACAACAACTTTTAATCATGCCCACTGCTATTTATATATGTGATGGAGTTAATATAAACTATTGCAAATAGCTAATTAGATGCTCAATCATCACACTTTCGAACATGTACGTCACTTCTGATTTGCAGATAATTTTGACAAGCCCCTCTACATTTATTTTTCATTCATGCACAAGTTTTCTGGTAGAAAGAATAAACTAAGCTTTAGTTTAGTGACAAGTCACCCTATAAAGTTATTTCAAACATCGAATTTGGTAATGTAGGTAAAAACAAATTTTCAAAATGCTAGAATGTGTCAATGCAATAATAGGTAAGGTAGCAAACAAGCCAACTCCAAATATGAGTATATGAATATATTTTTTTGACGCAAATATGACACTAAAAATTGGACAGGAAGACAGTTCAATAGTGAAAAATAATATAGTGCATGATATAGCTGTGTTAGAAAACACACACGACGGAGTTCTTTTTGCACTCTTGACGAGTAAACAATGACGAATTCAGATCAAGATTATATAGATTATATATCACATTTTAATGTTTCTCAATCTGACTTCTTCGTTGTTTTCTCATCAAGAGTGTAAAATAACTCTGTCGTGTATGCTCTAGCAAACACAGCTATATCATGCACTATATTATTTTTTAATTTTGAACTGTCTTCCTGTCTAATTTTTATAGTGTCATAACTATGTCTATGGAGTTGGCTCATTTGCTACCTTAAATTAATGCATTGACACATTCTAACAAAAACAAAAGCACGTTTCTATTCGAATAATTTTTAATTTAACTGATTTGATTTTATTAACTACTGTATATTTTACAAGTTATGTATGTGATTAAAAAATAATAAATTATCGTTTTCTTTTAAAGGCGAAGATTCAGACAAAGACAATGATGACGAATATGCTTTTAAAGGTGATATCACTGGGCTCACTTTCAAAATTAGGAGAAAATATACTGTACACTTTAACAGTAATATACCCCTCTGAGAGCTTGCTGTTGTCACCATCAATTTGATATCACAGTACTGTCACGTGACACTGGGCGAAAGATGACAATTTATTAATAGAAGTAAGAGTAACACTAGGGGGGGGGGGAGAAAAGAAAGAAAAAGAAAGCGTCACTTATCTTGTGTATGTACCCATGGAGTAAATGAAATACTTTTTCTTCTTTTTGCAGATAATTCAAGTCATTCGAAAAAAACAATTCATCAGGATCCGGATCTGGAGGTAAATACATTGACAGCTCATAAAATATTCACATAGATCAGGGATTTTGCCGCACAATCACCGCAGTTTACTGTAACAACTTGAAATTTTATATATTTAAAACATCTTGTTTACATTGCAGCCGTATAACCACGTCCTTATCTATTGATACGACTGATACGATCCATTAATTAACAATTATTCACCGAAAGGGAAGTGAATATTGGTGATATGTGATAAAATTTCATGTTAATTTACATAAACTGTAGCTTTGATTTTCTCGGCTTAGACAACGTTGATTTTGAAAATTTCTTCGCCAATAAACTCATAAACATGATAATTCATGAAGCAATTATCCAATCTTGAGTAAGAAATTAGTCACATGCATACGTCTTTATACCAGCTAAAGAACACTTTAACAAAAGACCATTGTTATGCAAACTATATATAAAGATTTTTATGCAAACGTTTTTGAAGCCATTTAAAAAACTCGCAGGTCATGTTTTATTAGGTCTAAAGCCACTTGCGCTGCGCTGTGCGACAGTTGCTGACAGTTGCCTGATAGCTAAAATAACACGAATATGATAAAGATATTCAGAGGTGAAGTGTATGAGCACCTAAATAATAGACTGAATTTAAGACTCCCAGCAAGCTATTCTTGCTTAAAGTCGATGTTTTGTTGTTTTGAGTATAGTTTGACTTTTTACGGAACAACCTCAATTGGATTAGCTGTATACAGCTATTTCAATTAAGGTTGTCCTGACGAAAAGGGAAAAGGTCGAATATGAGCATGAAAGGCTTATTGGGAAAGACTAGTTTTATTCCCAAATACATTACCATTCATAGGTTTTCCACTAAGTTTAAAATTAGATCTTGCTTTCTTATGTACTATTTAAAAAACGAGCAGGAGTGTTTTATTAAGTTTAAAGCCACGAGTGCACAGCACGAGTGGCTTTAGACTTAATAAAACACGACCTGCGAGTTTTTTAAATGGCTTCAAAAACGTTTGCATAATAAGTCAAATCTTTATATAAAAATCTTTATATAGTCTGCATAACAATGGTCTTTTGTTAAAGTGTTCTTTAGCTGGTATAAAGACGTATGCACGTGACTAATTTCTTACTCAAGATTGGATAATTGCTTCATGAATTATTAATGAGTTTTTGAAATAAGTTTAAATCGCGACTACGTATCTCTAGAAACTAAATTTTGTTCTGTTTGTGTGTTTTTAATCGTCACTCCCAGCAAGCTTTTCACGCTCGTATTTGACTTTTCCGCTTTGCTTGGGGACAACCTTAATTGAAATAGCTGTATATGACTTAACCTAAGTTATCCAAAGTACTGAATGTTAACATTTATTAAAAAAAAATCAAGGTTAATTGTTTTAATGCCTCAAATTTTGAGTTTACAAGATGTTGATAGTTGGAATGCGTTTGATCTTATATTCTCTCCAAATTCTTCGCGGATAAATATAAGTTCTACTAAAAGAAAACTTGTTCAAACTATCCGAAAAATAGAATAGAAAGCAATTAAACTTCGCGATTTTGAGTTTTCTTTGTTCAAACTACTTGAACAACTTTGACATTTGAAATGTCAAAGTTGTTCAGGTAGTTTGGACAACCTATCAACTGCACTTTCTGATTATTTAAAAATTCTACTAAAAACCTATTAATTGTTTAATGCAGGTTGGAAAATAAAACAAAAAAAAGTGCAAAAGAAAGCCTGGACGACACCAGAAAGGAATGCAGCATTGAAAACGTTCAAATGTCTGAAGTTCCTGAAAGACAATAAGACTTTAGTGAATAAAGACAGGTCATGGACGAATGTGAAAGATTATGTGCGAAATTACGCAGAAAAACGAAAGTAAATAAATCCAAATATCTGTAAAAGAAACTGTTAGTTTTGACTTTTAAGCACTTGTATTGTCTAATCACCAGTTAAAATAACACACAAACCGGTTGACTCTGATCTGGAATGAGGCTGTTTCAACCATTGGCAATTTGTATTTAAGAGCATAGATATAATACAAATATACTAAACCATTTTTCTTTGTTTCAGATTGCCTTGAATTTTGCTGACCGTATAAAGTTGTGTGCTGCACTGTATACTACTGCCAGGTGCTCAGTATAGATATAATTATAATAGAGACTTGAAGATTGCGTTTACGAGCATAGGTTCCACACAGGGTCTTAGCCAGGATTTGCAACTTGGGTGTCCAAATTTGAAATTTTGTTTATGACACCCATTTTTTGCCATATGGAACCATTGCACCACTTCATACACCAGTAATTCAAGTGATTATTCCCGAATGCTGGGAGTAATCGGTGACCGCACTCGAGAATCGCCCAAAAACTATAATAATATATTCAATTATTCAGACTATGTCACTACCACTACACTGACTACACTAGTACATGCAATTCTGCATGCTAAACACCCTTTCTGCTTCTGCATTTCCAACCATTACACACAAGCAAGTTGCCATATAGTTGAAAACTAGGCGAGTCCATTTCCTGAAAGGTCAATAAAATTTGCGTAGGTGTCACTAGCGGCGCATGCTTACTCGGATTACAAAATTACATATTACTAGCCGTTTCTAGTCATCGAACGAAATACAAATACATAAATTAACATAATATTTGATTGTAAGGTACTCTACAGCTTTTACGTAGCCGTCCAAATGGCGTCACCATGATAGCAAACCGTCCAAAAGCCGTCTTTTTTATAAGGCCGTCCAAATTTGAAAATAGCCGTCCAAAAGACGGCTGGACGGTAGGCTGGCTAAGACCCTGGTTCCACACGATTTTGAAAGTAACTATCTTACGGCTTACTTTGCCTTTACAATACGCCACTTTAAAGTGGGTTTCTGTGAAACCTGGTAAACTTGACTAACTGAATTTCCTGGGATATTGGAATCCACCCGAAATTCAATCCGCTTGTAAACTAAAAGAGTTTAAAAAAAATCAATGTATTAGTTTTACGAGAAAAGTACTCAACATGTCTGTAATCCACCATGCAGCATCTAAAAAAAAAAGAAAAAGAAAAAAAGCCACGTTGCTGAGTCAGTTTTGGAGATACCCGTGACTAGGAACAGAAAACGTATTTTATTAGGCTAAATTCCTGCTGAGCATTTAGTTCATTTTGACTGTTACATTTCACAGTGTATCAAGTCCCAAAATCTCTGCGAAAATAAACAATCCCGTGTAATTGATATTACAAATGTACGTCTTTTCTACATATCCTGAACGAAAAAGTTGTCTACACAGAATGACCAGATAAGCAACTTTGATCCAGTTTATGATGAGAAATCCTTTCGTTTCTGATAAATTAGGAAAATAATGAAAATCGGTACCAAAACCAATTTTATTTGTTTCAACTTATGAAACATGCATCTATTAAAATCTGTATAAATCTATAGATAAATTTAAAACAGTCAACCTGAAAACTCGGATTAATTAATGCATTTACCTATTTTTAGCGTCAAATTTATTTAGAAACACATTCAAATACTGGAGAAAATATTTTTGGACTAGTTGTTAGGGTGGATTCCGGTGTGATTTTTCAATTTTAAAACTAAAAATAATTAAACAGACTACGAAATTTTGTTAAATACAAACACGTTCAAGTTAAAACTTTACCTTAAGGTCCTTAATTAGTGAGGTACTTTTCATTTTGTCTTGTTTGTTTGTTCTTTGTTGCATGCTGTCGTACCCAAATTTCCCGATATCTTAATTCATGCATGATA